TCTTAGTTCTAAAACCTAAGTCAATAACCCTATCAACACAGGGCTTTTTTTTTTTTTGAGACATCTTTTACCTTTCCTGTGTAATTAGTTTAAATTCTCTATAATTCTATGCAAGATAGAATTTAAAGAACATAGATCTTTAAATAGTCTCTTTCCTCCCAGCTCCCACGCACTGACGAGCCTAGATAGCTCTGACTTAACATCAAAGGCAGGGCTGTTGGGTAACCTGTGTGCAGTAAGATTCACACTAGCCCTTCCTTGTCACAGCTGCTGGCTTTTATAACATCCTATACAGACAGGGATTACTCAAGCAAGCTGCTAATCTTAGAATATTAAACAGATGAATCAATGTTGAGGAATTTTAAAACTGATCTATTTCAGGAGATTTCTGATCTTCAGGAAGCGAGAGCTGAGAATTTTAAAAGTTAGAGATGTATCTACCCTAAATTTCAAGCACATGAAAGCTAAATACTTTAAGTTCCAGATATAAGTTTCAATGTTTTTACAGACTAATTGTGTGTGTGTGTGTGTGTGTGTAAATAAGTGGGCTTTGTTGATTAGGTAGGTTTTTCAGGTTCCTAATACATATTAAAACACATTCTCCTTTAAGATCTTCAGTCTCACTTCTTTTCTGTTTACTGAGCACACACTGATTCTCTTTTGCTTGTTTTAGTTTTGATTTTCTGGAGTCAAGATTTGTCTTTGTACCCCTGGCTACCCTGGAACTCACTCTGTAGAACAGGTTGGCCTCGAACTCAGAGATATGCCTGACTCTGCCTCCCGAATGTTGGAATTAACTTCCTATCTTCCTTCCAGTGTCTTTCTGCCTTTCCTAGCACCAGCTCCAGCTTTATGAGTAAATGTTTTAAAGCAGTCATCAGGAACAAGAATTTAGATTGCAGGGGAGGGGGATTAGGTGGATTCACAGTAAAAACGGTTCTTCCTCCTCATTTTTATTCAAAAGCATTTAAAAATCTAAAGTAGAAAACCAATGTATTCTTAGAATTTCTTACTAGATATTTCAAAATAGTAATGTGAAACTGATGTTACCGCTATGGTTTGTGTCTTCCACCCCTGTTAACTAACTGGTAGTACTATCTGGGGAAGTCCATGGAACCTTTAGAGAGTGAAGTCTGGTAGACATAGGTGGCTAGGTGTGGCTCTTTGAAGGTTACATCCACCCCTGCTTCTGGCTTCTCTGGTACACCACGAATTGAGAGGCTCTATCATACCTTCCTGGCCACAGCGGACTGGAACCCTCAAAAACAGTGGTTCTTAACCTGTGGATGGTTACCCCTTTGGCAAACTTCAAGCTTCAAAAAAATTATTTATATTATGATTCATAACAGTAGCAAAATTACAGCTATGAAGTAGCAACGAAGATAATTTTATGGTTGGGAGTCATAAAACATGAGGAACTGTATTAAAGAGTCAGGGTCACAGGATTAGGAAGGGTGAGAACCACTGCTCTAAAACCATGCACCCAACAAGTCTTTGCTCTCTCAGACAGTCTCTGTCAGGTATCGTGGTCACAGCAACATGAAACAACTAAGAGTTGCTAAGGTGCTGCTATCTGAACAATAGGCCTCCTAAGCTTAAACTACTTGATGTTTACAGTGGTTTTCCATTGAGAACAGGCTTGTGATCTATTATTTAATGTCTCTTTGAGATGAACTCTGAAATAGGCATTACTATGGAGAGGCTGATAGTCATAGAAATGAAGTGGCTTGCCCTGTTCTAGAATTAACTGCCTTTCCAATCACTCTGTACAGTTAAACATTCATAAAGGAAAAGCATCTTTAATATAGCACTCATCCAGCTCTGGCTAATGCTCAAGGAGAAGAGCTGGCCTTGGATCGACGATTTGACTAACTTAAGCACATCTTACAACGCTCTGCATCTCACACATACTGTTGTCCTTAAACCTCTTTCAGGTCCTGGGCCTAGGTTCCACTTTGAATAATTTAAACAGAGACAGGAGAATGTAAGTCTCCCCACTTGGACAGATGAGAGATTTACACAGCAAATTCTGTGTAAATTATTTCTTACTATTTCCTAAGTACAACAGTGTTGTTCTTTTCGAATAGTTGCTATCCAGGTTCATCTTGTTAACCTTGCAGAACTGTGCTTTTCCTGATAAGACCACAGAGTCTTAATGGCAGGGTGGTTGTGACCCTGTGCCACCCCTCGATCTGCTCTTTAGAGGTATATTCTTTGACATGGGATGAGCCTAATGGCCAGTTCTAAGTTGGTTTTCTCCTTTTGCTATAGAAATGGAGCCTTGCTGGGCGGTGGTGGCGCACGTCTTTAATCCCAGCACTTGGGAGGCAGAGGCAGGTGGATCTCTGGGTTCGAGAGTTCGAAGCTAGCCTGGTCTACAGAGTGAGTTCCAGGACAGCCAGGGCTACACAGAGAAACCCTGACTCGAAAACCAAACCAAAAAAAAAAAAGAAAGAAAGAAATGGAGCCTAACTGAAGTTCAATCTTGGTAAATAAACATTGGATAAACTTATTAAAATGTATTTACTTTATGTATATAAGTGCTCTGTCTTCACACACACCAGAAGAGGGAATCAGATCCCATTACAGATGGTTTTGGATCAGTGCTGGGAATTGAACTCAGGACCTCTGGAAAGAGCAGTCAGTGCTCTTAACTACTGAGCCATCTCTCCAGCCCCTGGAGAAACTTTCTTAACATCCCTTAACTTCAATTATGGTACAAGTTTTTCATTCCTGGGTTTCTAACTGGTGAGTATACTATTTATCTTTCTAGCCATATTGGAGGCTCTCCTTTAGCTAAATTCCACTCTGTGTAACTTAATATTTCCTACGCAAACTTATTAGTAAATCCTTTGCAGCATGAATTTTACTACTTCGAGTTTATCTGCATCAACCCAAAATCCCAAACTCCTTCTTTTTAGCATAGCATTGAATAAGGAAGGACTCTACCAAGTATAAGGAGCAAGAAGATAGGACAAATTCTACTTCTTTGCTTTTCTTTTTCATCCTTTGTTAATACTCTAACTACCTCCTACTCCCCCCAAGCAAAGAAAAGCAACTCTGGTAGATGTTTCTCCAGTGGGTGGTCCAAGCAGTTTTTTCCCTTGAAGAGGCCTGAAGGTCTCTTTTGGTTCAACTAAAGCTTTCACTTAATGGTCAGTCAAAGATCTTTCTGGAAAGCAAAAATGGAGTATGACACTCCCAGGCATGGACTGTTGATCCATGCTTCCTTTCTCCTAGCCTCAGCTCATACAGCAAATGGTTACAAGAGACTTTTTAGATTAAGCTCCTACACTAGTTCCCAAAGAATAGACTTAAAAGGAAAAAAATGAAGTCACCCATAATAAAGCTAAATACACCCAAACAGAATCCCCCAGGAAAGCCAGTTTCAATGGGCACAATAATAAAATCCTTCTGTTTTAATCTTTTTTTTCGGGGGGAGACACTTGCCTGGAGTAACTTGATGTTAACTTGTCAGTGATTCTCCTATTGTTCAGCTTCTGTTCCCTGCCCTATAAGGAAAGGAACTCCAGCCAATCAGATCTAGGGGTGAGGAAGGCAGAACCACCAGTCTCCTCTGCTCAGAAGTGCTAACCTTTCAATTAATCCATAACCATAAAGGAAAGCCAATCAAAATCTTTTAACTGAAATGGTTAATTTTTGTTATTATCATGAATAATAATTTTTAGAATTTTAGACTGGTTAATTGTGGGGTTGTGGCATGCACATGGGTCTATTGTTGGGTTGAATTGTGGGTCCCACGTCTACCCACCCCCAAGGGGCTAGGGCCGCTGCTCAGAGGGACAGAGGCACGGTGTTCACTTCATGCTGGCACCTAGCGGACATCGGGCTATGAGAAGCCACAGGACTCCATTCGGGGGGTGGGGGAACACAGTCTGAGGTCCTGAGGGCCTCAGCTCTGGCTGCATTCCACGGGGAGAAAAGTCTTGGTAGTGGAGACTTGCTTGGCTTGGTCACAGTTGGCTCTGCTTGCTTGGGTTTCTGGGCCTCCATGGTTAGAAACGTAGAGAGGTCATCAGCGAAGATTAGACGACGACAGCTTGGTAGTTGAAAACCTTCTCCACAGTTCCCTACAGCGGGTCCCAAAGATGAGAAATAGGCTATGGTTTTAAGATATTTCTAATGGTGGAAAATGGATCAAACTATATTACAGTATTCTCAGGGCGGGCCTGAGGTTAAATACCTTTTGCAAAAAGGAGGGTCTGGGGAGGAAAGTTTAATTGGCTATGCCCTCTGGCCTTTAGGTACCTCATTAATATGGAGATCTATCTTGAGGCTCCATGGCCTGTAGTCATGCACTATACCTGTGGAGGGATTAGTAGAGGCATTGTCCTACATGCGCAGATCGATGGAGGTCTTTGGCCTCACGTCAGGAGACTGGAGTCGGAGAGCATGGCATCCCTTGCAGGGAAACTTGTGGCGTCTCTGGCCATCTCGAGCCAGTGCTTAACCAGAAACCATGCTGTCCTTTCACAGTCCTACAGTTAATGTTCTTATTAACCAGATTAAAATGGAAGGACTTTATTATCATGCCAAATGAAACTGGCTTTCCTGGGGAATTCTGTTTGGCATTGTTTAACTTTATCATGGGTGACTCTATTATTTTTTCTACTTATGTCTATTCTTTAGTCTAATTATTATTATTATTATTATTATTATTATATATTCTGAAGCTTAGTTTTATTTCCTCAAATAAATAAAACTACAGTCTTTACATACCCTGTGAACAAACATTATTATTAAATACATCTGTTATTGGTCTTTCTCCATGTGGTCAGACTTCCTTGTCTTCACTGGTCCATCTTCAACAAATTTAAAAACTATCAACAGTTACTTCCATTGGTTGACTTATGTGTACAGCTATTCTAACACTCTCAAATAGCACCATCAGTAATTTAGGGAGGTTTTAGTTTGAGGTAAGTTTTTTTTTTCATTACAAGTTCTAAAGTCAGCTGAGTGACACTTCCTCAACCACCTACCTCTGCAATGAAATCATGTAGCTCTCCTTCAGTCGGGCAGCATCCCAATGACCTGATAATTGTCCCAATCTCTCTAGAAAAAAAAGAGTTGTGAGAAGTTTTAGAATATAAATTCTGGAGAGGAAACTGTAGTATAATTATCTAAATTATTTCAGATCACAGGTAACATAGCAAACCACCTCACTTAAGTATTGGCTCACAGTTACATGAGAAATTTCCTGGAAAAAGAAAAGGGCCCCCAAGAACCAAGGCAGTCCAAAAATTTCACTAACTAGAAAATCAAGCCCTGACTAGTTCAAAATCTCAAAGCTCCAGAGAAGGAATCAGGACAAGATGAGGGGAGGAAGAAGGAATGTCTGCCACTTGATAGCTGGTTTTAACTGTTGTTTAACTCTGATGGAGAAGGAAAGAGAATATAGGTTAACTATTTAATACACTAATACACACCAGCACAATCTAACTGGAGCCTTGCACTATGGTAGCCTGAGGGCGACAGGAAGAAGAAGAGACAGACAGGGTTAAATTTTACTTCACTCTGCTTGTACTCCTACTTGTTTCAGTTGACTCCTCTCCTCTTATCTTGAAAAAGAAAATGCTTACAAAGCTATCTGTAGTTGACCATGTTTGCTAAAGAAAGAACGTCCCAATGGTTACTCACATCTGCTTCTGTAAACACACTTAAACTACAATAGAAATATCTTTTGGGTGATCATGAGACCCAGAGACCACCTTCACAAGGTCCATGCAGACAGGAATCTCCACATTGTTGCTCAAACTGTAAAACCTGTCAGAGACTGTGAAATGGAACCAAACTTTGCCAAACACTAGTTTTAGTATATCCCCCACTGCACTTAAAACTGTGGAAGCTAGCCGGGCAGTGGTGGCACACGCCTTTAATCCCAGCAATTAGGAGGCAGAGGCAGGTGGATTCCTGAGTTCGAGAGTTCGAGGCCAGCCTGGTCTACAGAGTGAGTTCCAGGACAGCCAGGGCTACACAGAGAAACCCTGTCTCGAAAAAAACAACAACAACAACAAAAAAAAAAACCTGTGGAAGCTCTGGATAGATGTACAACAGTGTTCTGTCAAGGGAAGGTGGAAATAGGGCTGGACACGAGCTATCACTCCTTGAAGATAGGAGAAAAGGATATGGAAAGTACAGAGCCCCTTTTCCTTCCTCTGGAGACATTAATAAAGGCAGCAATGTGGACTGCTGCCTCTACTATGGTAAGAGCCGGGTTTGTAACTGACTGGTTGAGCGCTGGGTTTGTGTCTTGAGAAGCAGAAGTGTCTGGCTCTCTGAAGATGAGTAGCATGCCCTGCTAAACGGCATATGGACATATTGCCAGAGAAAGCAGCTCACTTAAGAGTTGCCTTCAGTGGCAATGCAATAAAGGCAATGCAGAGAGTGACTGATAGGAAGAGAGAAGGGAGAATGAGGAAGGGACAGGAAGGTGGCATTTAAATGCCAGGCTTCCTAAACATTTCTTTAGATAGTAATGAAATGCGATAAATCTATTTCAAGAGCTCTCCATATGTGAAGTCCTGGGTTCAAATCTGAACAGCAGCAGGGATTGAAAGTCCCCAAGTCCATGAGGTGGAAGAAAGGGCAGTCACAGCAGACGCCCTGATGACTCATGCCTTCTCTTGTTTCCCACGGCCTAAATGAAACACAGGGCTGGAGACACAGAGGCTAAGCCATCCTCCAAGCTGCTCTCACACAGCACTGGTGCCAGGAGCATGGGAACACAGCAGAAGGGCCCAGGTGGGCACCGCAGAGCTCCAGATGGCTTCTAGATGGGCTGGGATGCTAGCAGTTGTGAGGAAATCAGGCTGCTGATGCTGCAGCCCTAGGAGCAGTGATGCTTCCAGGGATGGGAACCAGAAAAGAGAACACAGGCAAGAAGAGGGTCAAGCCTTCACACTGAAAGAGAAAGAGCCTTAGGAAGAAGGAACATTGCAAGGAAGATGAAAACGCCAGATGAGGCAGTACACACTTGTAATCCAAAGCATTTGGAAAATAGAGGCAAGAGAATCAATCAGTTCAAACCCTCTCCTACACAGCAAGTTCAAAGCCAGCCTAGACTACATAGGACCCTATCTCAAAAACAAAAAAAAAATGAAAATGTAATTTCAGGAAAAACAAAACAGAAATGTCAACAAGGAGGACAGAGTTCAGAAGTAATGAAAAGAAATGAGTCAGGACTAGAAAATGAGACAAAATTATGAGCTAAGAAAGCCACTGTGGGAGGGTCTTCCCAGAAAGGGAAATGGAATATAGTGCTGTGAATGGATAAAGGGGGATCACAAGGATCACACAGAGTGGGGAGCGGATGGCAGTAGAGGAGGGACTATGGGGATGAACAACTAACATTATAGCTACTTCTTGAAAAGCTATTTGGAAATATACTACTGTAGAAGCTTCCTAAGATGTACAGATGTATAAAGGGAATTTCGAGTCACTCTATTATGGGGGAGACAATACCACAAGTAGATATTATATGTTGCCAAATAAAATTTTCAGTAGAATGGGATACGTCTTTCTGAGTCAGTAGCCAAAGGGGTCCCACAGGCTCCCCAAACACTTCAGGCTATTTCCAACTTGATGGTAAGATGTTATTGATGAAGACACCACACACTTATGTCATAGAAAATGAAGAAATCTAAGTGGTATTCAACTGGAAGATTCACCCTGTTGGCTAGTGTTCATAGTGCTAGAAGATTCTAAGCACAGTACCAGAAGAGAAATCCCATCAAGCTCAATCTCATCCAGCTACAAACCCTGGGAGCGTGACTGATGACCTCCCTGCAAGCCGTGCTCGATGATTCAGTGGTACCATGAATGGTATGGGATTAACCAACTACTTTTGGGGGAAAGAGAGAGGTTTAAGGCCCACTCAAATCATGGGCCCTCTGGCAAACCTACCTCTATTATTTTGCTGAATGAGCATAGTGAATAAAAGGATTCCTAATGATATATTGGTATACCCATATGTCTTAGTTAGGATTCTGTTGCTGTGAAGAGACACCACAACCACAGCAACTCTTATAAAGGAAAACATTTAATTGGAGCTGGCTTACACTTTAGAAGTTTAGTTCATTATCATCATGGTGGGAAGAATGGCAGCATGCAGGCAGACATGGTGCTGGAGAAGTAGTTGAGAGTTCTATATCTCGATTAGCAGGCAGCAGGAAGAGAGAATGGCACTGGACCTAGCTTGGGACATACTTCCTCCTACTAGGCCACACCTACTCCAACAAGGCCACACCCACACTTCCCAATAGTGACACTCCTTATGAGTGGATGGAATCATTTTCATTTAAACCACTACACCGGTTTCTGTCAGTTGCGTAGCAGTGTAGGGAAAAGCTCTGTGGGAAGGTGTGTTCTGTTCCTTCCTCTTCGTCGTTCGGATTCAGTCCAATTTGGAGAGTCTCCCCGTCAGCCGTCACCATGTCGGTCCCAAGCCCACTCATGAAGCAGCTGCTCATTCAGTCTACGGCTGAGGCCGTCCCAGTTCGCAACGAGAAAGGTGAGGTTTCAATGGAAAAGGTAAAGGTAAAACGTTATGTGTCCGGAAAGAGACCAGATTATGCCCCTATGGAGTCCTCAGATGAAGAGGATGAAGAATTTCAGTTCATTAAGAACGCTAAGGAATCGCTGGGCGGTGGTGGTGCAAGCGGTCCCTTGCCGCCCTGGATGCGCTCAATACTAATGCTGAAAATGATGAGGAGAAGTACGAGGCCTGGAAAGTCCGTGAGCTCAAAAGAATCAAGCGGGAGAGAGAAGACGGAGAAGCGCCTGAAAAGAAGAAAGCAGAAATTGAACACATGAGAAACCTGACTGAGGGAGAAAGGAGGGCTGAACTTCGGGCAAATGGCAAAGTCATTACCAACGAAGCTGTTAAAGGCAAATACAAGTTTCTACAAAAGTATTATCACCGAGGTGTCTTCTTCCTGGACGAGAATGAAGAGAGATTTTAGTGCACCTACTCTTGAGGACCATTTCAACAAAACCATTCTTCCAAAAGTCATGCAGGTTAAGAATTTTGGACGGTCTGGTCGCACTAAGTACACCCCCCTTGTGGATCAAGATACCACTTCCTTTGACTCTGCGTGGGGCCAAGAGAGTGCCCAGAACACAAAATTCTTTTAACAAAAGGCAGCAGGGGTGCGAGATGTATTTGAGCGACCATCTGCCAAGAAAAGGAAAACCACCTAGGCTTCAACTACTTATTCCAACTATGGGACACAAGGGGATCTGGCCCTCAATTTTCTTGAACCATTATTGACGTAGTTCTTGTATAGAGCTTTCCAGACTTGCAGCCATAACTTGTGTTTGAAGGTGCTTTGTAAGAGGTTTGGACTCATAGTGAGAAACCTGTTGGGAGCACAAAGCTTTGCAGCCATCTCGAGCCATATACCCTGACAAGAGACTTGTTTTCAACAGCCTACAACACCTGAGCACACTCTGATAAACATCTTGCTTTTCTTACATATCTTGTTGTTTAGTGCCCCCAGCTGCAAGGCACACGTGATAAAGTGTCTTCAGCTGCGTTCCCCTGCTTATGCTTATATATACCCATGATTTCCTTTCAAAAAACGAGACGTGAACAGACTCTCTGTTTTGTCTCCATTCTTTGAGTCTCTTGCCCTTCCATCCCCACTCTCTCTCTTGCTAGACCCTGACTCACAGATCGGAGCAGCAGCTCAGGCCAGGACAATGTAGCCCCCAAATGAGGGGCAGAACAGGCTGTTACAAAAACCCACAGAAACGCACTAACCAGGTAGGATTGGGCGCTTCCCACTTAAAACTATTCCTGAGAAATCTTAGGTTTCTCTATCTTGGCGTCCCATATTGACTTGGGGCTCTTCTGAGTTTGTTTTTCCAGCCTGGATCAGATACTGGACATGTGAATGCATGGGGCATTACTTCTTCCTTAGGGTTAGCAGTACACTATCAGGAAATCTAAGCTCAGTTCAATCTGTTTTTGCATTTGGGGTGTTGAATCTACAGTTCTAAGTAAATATACTTTTTGATCTGTGTGAAAAAAAATAAACCACTATACCATAGAT